ATTTATCTCGTTCTTGTTCGTGTGGTTTCAAGCTTCCGCCACGCACAACAAGTGGCATCAGAGCTCCAAACTGAGTTCCAAGTTTGGCTTGGGGCTAGTTCGAAGGATTCGCTGAAGGATTCCTATTTGAAAAGTTAGATCGACAACATGGGAGAAGCAAGCACATCAGGTTCGTCTCTTACGAAGGTGATACAAAGTCTGAGCATCAATAATACGAAGATTGATGTCCCGAAGTTCGACGATAAGATTAATTTCGGTTTGTGGAGGTGTCAGGTGATGGATGCATTGGATGTACAGAATTTGGAGGAGACTCTTGAATTACAAGAGAAACCCGTGACATGAAGGATAAGGTTTGGAAGAAGATGAATAGTAGAGCTTGTGGAGTTATTCGGTCATGCTTGACGCCGGATCTTATCTATGACGTGATGAACGAGACATCGGCGAAGAGAATGTGGAAAACACTCAATGAGAAGTATCTTACGAAGAGGTTTGAGAATCGGTTTTACTTGAAGAAGAGGTTTTACCAGTTCAAGATGAAGATGGAGGTTTCCATTAGGGAGCATGTAAACAATTTTACGAAGCTACTTTCAGATATGGCCAATGTGGACATCATGGTTGATGATGAAGATAAGGCGATGCTACTTTTGTGTTCGTTGCCCGAGAATGATTATGGTACGTTCGTTCTCACTATGATCAATGGAAGAACTATTGTTAGCTACAATGAGATGATCTCAGTGTCGGTGAATTATAAGCTGAGAAAGAGTGATGGTGAACCCTCCGAGAAGGCATCGGGAGATGCATTAGCAGTTTGAGACCGTAGTCCAAACTGCTGCCAAGTCAACCGCTCAAAATCGAATAATAGATGTGCCTATAAGAGTGTTGGTAGAAATCAATGTCGATATTGTAAAGAAAAATGATATTGGAAGATTGACTGCCCAAAATGGAAGTATAAAACCGGGAAGAACAAGGGAAAAGTTGTACAGGGTTCAGAAGTGAATGTTGCAAAAGGTGTTAGCGAACATTCAGATTCAGATTCTTTGGACTATTCGTACCCTGCACTACCATCGGTTTGCTATGTCGACTCTACGGAGTGTATGTTAGATTTGGGAGCCACATATCATATTTGCCCGAGAAGGGATTGGTTCTCCAGCTTTGAGGAGCTGAAAAGATGAGATATCGTGCTTATGGAAAATGACCACGTATGCCCTATTGGTGGTATTGGTTCGGTCCGGATCAGGATACATTACGGTGTGATGAGAGAGTTGAAATAAATGAGATTCGTGCCGCAATTGACGAAGAACATCATTTCTCTTGGTACTTTGGAGGTAGCTGGTTATCGGGTGACTTTAGAGGATGCTACCATGAAAGTCACGAAGGGTTCTATGGTGGTGATGCAAGGAGTCAGGAAAAACTTTCTATACTACTTGTAGGGCAAGATAGTTACAGAGAGTCTGGCAACTTCTATCACTACAGAAGATGATAAGTAAGTATCATGTGTATATATTTTGTCCACTATAGTATTTCCCACCTTTTGTCTGGCTTGTTATGTAAGTATTATATGGATACCTTTTTATCAATTATAGTGATTTTCCTCCTCTTGTCTGGTTTGTTATATTTCGTAATATAGTTGATCAATAGCTTCACGTTACTTGCTATTGCAATGTCATTCGTATCTAATTATATAATAAGTTTATGACTCCTTTAGTATTTGAAGAATAAAATATAAAATTTTATAAGACTTATTAATATTTCTTGTATCTTCTATAAAAAAAATACTTCTTGATTGGAAAAAATTAGTTAATATATTCTCCAATGGGAAACTAGTTAGCGCTTCATTGATAGATATGTCTCTTATTAATATCAATTCAAGTGATTCATGTAAGTTTATGAATTTTGGGTTAATTTCGTTCGCTTTTCCATTTAAAATGAAAACAGATAGATCTTGAAGGATATTTCTAAACATTTTAATAGTTTCTCTGTACGTAACTCATTGTACTTTTTTTATTCTATGAATATTATTAACATCACAGAATATTTTTTTACCCTGTGAATATTACTAACATCAAAGAATAATGTTTATAAAATATAATCAATTAATGCTAAGCTATTATATTACAGACTTTTATCAAGTTTAAGTGGTTTAGTCTTCTATCAATTAATGCTACCTCTGTATTTTTAATACTCTAACTTATGAGTAAAATTATATGCAATTATTTTATTTAGACAATGATATTAAATTTTAAACTATCAATATATTTTTTAAATTTCATGTTTTTTTGTAATTTTAAACTTTTGAGAGTGTTTCTACAATTTTTAAAACTTTGAGGGTATTAGTTGCAAATTTTAAATTTTAGGGGGCTAATACTAATATTCAAATTTTATGTTTGTCATTTTAAGTTTTAAAAAATCAATATGTTTTATGTAATTTTGAACTATTGAGGGTGTTTTATGTAATTTTTAAAACTTCTTAGTTTTTTTACAATAATTCATGTATTATCTTTCTCTATCATCCATGAGGCTTAATTGATGCGACAAATAGCTTTTTACGGTGGAGAGAGGGGGATCAATGCTCAAGTTTGATTATAATCCCTAGAATTCATCTATGCTGTTCGGAAGTTTTGAGGATGTTTTTTATAATTTAGACTTTTGATGGTGTTTCTATAATTTTTAAAATGTTGAGGGTGGAAATTATAAATTTTAAATTCCTCAGTGGATACTGTTAATTTTTAAATTTCATGTTTGTTATTTTAAGTTTTTGTGTTGGTGGTTTGTGTAATTTTGAACATTTGAGAGTATTTTGTGCAATTTTTAAAACTTTTTAGATTTTTTGTTATTGTTGTAATATTTTATGTAACTTATTAAGCTTATTTTTAAAAAAAAATTATTAAGAATTCACGTGAGATTAAGATATGATATAATTATGATTACGATAGATGAACTATTGAGGGTGTATTGTGCAATTTTTAAAACATTTTTGTTTTTTGACAATAATTCATGTATTATCTTTCGCTATTTTTAAAACTTTTTAGTTTTTTTTTTTTTGACAATAACTCATGTATTAGCTTTCTCTATCATCCCTGAAGCTTAATTGATGCGACAAAAAGCTTTTTACGGTGGAGAGGGGGGAATCTATGTTCAAGTTTGATTATAATCCCTAGAATTCATCTATATTGTTCACAAGTTTTGAGGGTGTTTTTTATAATTTAGAATTTTTAGAGTGTTTTTATAATTTTTAAAATGTTGAGGGTGTTAATTATAAATTTTAAATTCCTCAGAGTATACTGTTAATTTCTAAATTTCATGTTTGTTATTTTAAGTTTTTGTGATTGTGTTGTGTAATTTGGAACATTTGAGAGTATTTTGTGCAAATTTTGGAACTATTTGGTTTTTTTTGTAATTGTTGTAATATTGTATGTAACTTATTAATCTTATTTTTTAAAAATTATTGAGCTATAGGTAATTCACGTGAAATTAAGAGAGGATATAATTATGATTATGATAAATTAAAATTTAAATAAAATATTTTAAAAAGTGAAGGGTAATATAGACCAAGGAAAGATTTTCCCGAACTCTTGCTTTTAAAAAATGTATGTAGTTGACTACGAGGGAAGATTCATGAGCTTGCTTCGATCTACGGGTATGTGGCAGACAAGAGAGTGTCAGACTCAGATGTTTCTTATGGGGCTTCGTCCAAGACTTCACCATTCCTTGTTTCCAGACGATTTCGCTCAATACGAGACGTAACTGACACCGCTATTTCACAGGAGACAGATATTAGTTCTCATATTATGAGACTACATCTCTAATCTTGTTTTAATGATTTTACAAACAATCCCTAATATTGTTTGTCTAGTGTTTGTGTTTGTTATTAGATATTCTAGATAAACATCAACGTTGGAGGTTGGATGGAATCGAGTATTAACGATCATATCCTTTGGAGGATGGAAGGAATATCGGAGTGAAGCAATGCATTCAAGTCAAATATCCAAGTTCAAGCTTCATCCGCAAAGTTTACCAAGAAGAGCATATTGAATATTAATCAAGCTTGGGTAAATAGACTAGGTGTTATATTATGTGTGTTAAATACTTCAAGCTCAATCATACACACACATACACGTTTTGTATATATATATATATATATATATATGTGAGATTAATGGGTATCCTTGTCATAGGAGGGGATTTCCTCCTTGACGCCTCTTAAATCACATGATTGAGCGACATTGTGGATGATCCGCTCCGTTGAACTTGATCTACATATTCTAAAACCCCAACACACTAAGTTTAGGGTGAACCCGTCGTCGTTTGACCCTTCATGCACTCGTATCAATTTTAACGGTTTTGAATGAATAGAACTTTTTCATGCACTCGTATCAATTTTAACGGTTTTGAATGAATAGAACTTTTTACATAGCTCGATGGATGGTCAAACGACGACGGATTCACCCCAAACTTAGTGTGTTGGGGTTTTAGAATATGTAGATCAAGTTTAACAGAGCGGATCATCCATAATGTCGCTCAATCATGTGATTTTAGAGGCGTCAATGAGGAAATCCCCTCCTATGACAAGGATACCCATTAATCTCTCTCTCTCTTATATATATATATATATATATATATATATATATATATATATATATATATATATATATATATATATATATATATATATATATATATATATATATATATATATATATATATATATATATATATATATATATATATATATATATATATATATATATATATATATATATATATATATATATATATGATAATAA